TCTACATATACAGCACAAACACACACAAATCAGGACAAAAATATATTTTTAAAATTAAATTAAAATATATTATTATGGGTGTTTGATTTTTAGTATATAATTTGTTTTTTTCCCCTAAGAGGGCAAAACCTCTTCCCCAAAGGCATACTTCCAGGGGCAAGGGGAGGGACTTCCAGTGGCAAAGGTGAGAGGTTAGGGACAGGACTTCTGGCCCCAAGATGGCAACCAGGGCATGGGGCTACCCATGCGGCCCTCGGAAGCTTGCCAAAACTCAGTAGGCGGCCCTCCGCCCGAAATAATTGCCCACCTCTGACATAATCCCACTCAGCCACTGCTTATCAAGGAATCAACACATATGTCACCCTTTCAGCTGCCTCTTCGGGGCCTGGTCATATTCTCAAGTAAAGGTTTGAGAAAAGAGAAGGGTCTTGCAGTAACTGCTGCTGTCTCTCCTGCTCCTGCATCCACTTCATCTCTGGCTGAGCATTGGGGCCCAACTGTGACACCATCTTAGCCACCTGAAAGAAGGTGAACGACCCAAACAATGTACAGGTCTTACAAAGCAGGCAGGCTTCCCTGGGCAGGCATTGCCAAAGGATGATGTTTAAGGGTGCCCTTTGGTGTCACCCTTCAGTAGTGACCAAAGTGGGGACCAAGGGTCTTTCTTTTTCTTGTCTTTTTTGTTAGGGTACTTTGGAATTTGTGTTGTGTGTTCTGGAGAGGATGGGAGGGGTTAGGTGGGTCTTTTGGTGGGGAAGTGGAGCAACAGGCACATTCCCTCTGCAGGAGAGGGTGTGTGAACTTGGAGGAGATGTTAGGGGAGGGGGAGGTGATCTCCCCTGGGGTTGAGATAGGCTTGTGGGTATTGGGAGAAGCAGTTTTTGGGAAAAGGTTTCTTGTAATCTTAATGTGAGTGGCGATTATGAGGTGCAGTTAAGATTGGTGGGAGGGTTTGCTTATGTGGCAGGGAGGCAGGGTTGGAGGGAGGTGGGGCTATTTGTCTCATTATAACCCTGGCATCCAAGCTCCAACAGTGGATGGTGCCAGTTCCATCCTGAAAAATTATGTGGTCACATGGCTTTCAGGTTTTGGTTGAATTCATAAATCCAAACAGAGGACTTGTGGGTCCTTTAGCTGCTTGAACTGAGAGAGAAGGACTCAGCTGGCCAGAGATCTTTGGCCCAGCACCCACATGGGGCACTACAGAGGGGCACTGCTCAAAGGTGCTCCTTCGCATTGCCTTTTGACAGTGAAGGAGTCGGGGACACGGGGACTTTTGCTATTTTCCTCTGGTGGGTCTTTTGAATTGAAGTTGTTTGTTAGGGAAAGGGTAGTATTTGTGGGTTTATAGAGACAGCCAGAGCCCCTCTGTGGAACAGGGGGTGTGGTGTTGGGAGGGACATTGAGGGGAAATGGAGGGGTCTCCCTTTCATGAGAGGCAAGGGACTGGGAGCGGGTGGGCACAGAAGTGGGACTAACATTTTCAGCACCTGTGGAGGAAGAGGTGGGGAAGGGAGGCTGCCAAGCACTGGAGAGCAGGAAGGGCAAAGAGGAACCAAGCTGCTGCTGCCAGCACATAAAATCCCTGCACCAAATCTGCTGCTGCCACTGCACAAAATCCCCACGCTGTGGTAGCCACTGTGCAGACTTCCCTTCAGATCAGTGCTTGGGGATGGTGCCGTGCTCACTGACCCTAGTTACACTACTGGATGTGCTTGGGTAGGAGAGAGGAAGTTGGAAGAGGTTTTCAATACCTAGAAGTGAATGGGGGCTGGTAGGGTTGCAAAGCATGGTTGGGATAAGCCAGAAGCTTTGTTGTCTGTGTTGGTCGGCAAGGAAGCAGAAGTAGGTGGGGGTGAGGTTTTAAAGTTTTGGGATGACATTTGGGGAGTCATTTTTTGTTTCATATCTTGTGGCGTGTTTGTCTTCTTTGTAAGCTATCTTGAGCCAACTTGGGAAAGACAGTAAAGAAATCTAATGAATAATTAATACATAAAAAACATGTTTGAAAGTAGGCTCCAAAGTCTGTGAACTACCTCAGGATCTGGTTTTTTGGGGTGGAAGTTAAGACAGAGTGTGGGAGGGTGATCAGCATTGACTGCTTGGCCATGGTGGCCTGCACTCTAGGTGGTCAGTGGAACAGGACTCTCTCTGAATAGCCTTGTGTGTTAATGAGGATCCAAATGCACTTGTTTCTTCTTTCAGATACGTGTCTGCTCTAACAACACCAGCTCGACTGTCACCTGTCGACTTCCATTATTCGATTGCTGCCCAGGTACCTACTTTTGAGATCACCTCCCCCAACTCTGCTCATGCTGTTTCCCTGCCCCCTGCGGCACCCATCAGCTTCCGTGTGGAGGAGCAGCAGCCTTTACTGCGAAGGTATCAAGTCCCCTTCCAGGATATGCAGCGGTATGACAGTTACTACCAAAGGAAGAGCTACTTAAACGACAGCATGGGGAGTCTGCCTTCAAGCCCCTTCCGCATCACGGAGGATGATGAATATGAGACGACACAGGAATACATCACAGCACTAGAACAACCAAAGAAAACAGCCAGCAGCAACAGGCGGTGGAAAAAATCTAGACTGAATGGGCACATCTCACACAGAGCTAAAATGGTCAGAGACTCCTTCTCAGTGAGCAGTGCCTCTTACAGCGAATCCGATGAGGAGATGGTGGCAGAGAGCACCCCGTTCTTAAGCATTCAGAACACTGATGTAATGAACACAGATTCCCCCCCGCTGTATCGACCAGGTGACAGCAGGACTTACTATTCCTTCGACAGACACAGCACGTATGGGGCGGGCAGCTTGCCACACACAAGACCCAAACCAGACTCAACACCTCACTAGAAGCTGCACAAACTCACACACCCCCAAACAGAGCAGTATCAAAAAGGAGAAAAAATATTTTTATTTTATATAAAAGAGGAAAAAATATAAGAAATAAAATGTTTTATTTTCATTTTAGCAAACTTGTCTTATAACAGCTAACAGCAAAGACTTTTTTTATAGGGAATCTCTATTTATATGTAATGTCTTGATTTACAGCTTCCAAAAAAAACACAAACAAACAAAAACAAAATAAAAAAGTGGGCCAATTTTTGACTACTTAAAAATAGAAAATAAAAATATCGTGGTGCCTTTTTGCTGTATGCTAACGCTGGAGTCCATGCTGAGGATTATGTTTCAGTAGCATTCGTAAGATCATAGGTTTTCATTTGGACAAATTACCATTTTAAGGGCGCTTTCTCATTTGAAAAAGATAAAAACAGCACCCTCCACTTTGCCCCATCTCTGTATGTTAGTGATCTAGTTCTTTCCAGTAGTGTTAAAACACACACACAAAGGACACATGTATGTATGTTTTCATAAATACCTCCTAAGGGGAATCTGTCTTGCCCTGTAAAATACGTGTATTTTTGCTTATTTCAGGAAAAATTCTATACATACGGGAATGCAGAAATAACATTTCTTTTTGCAACACAGGTAGGAAGAGAAAAAAGCATACAGTAGCAACAGCCCTTACAATATATCTGTCAACCTCCTAAACATGTTACTGTGTGGGGTCTGAAGTAGAACTGGATCATTTTGGCACAGTTTTGTGAAGTTGTAGTCAAATAAAACATTAAAATGAACGTGGTAAAATATTATCTATTTACATACGGTAGAATCCACTTCACTGGCATAGACCCCACTTGGGAGGGAAACAGTCCATTGCAGCAATTGCAAATAAGTACTCTTGTTTGGCAAATTGCTTTCAAAGGCAGCATTGCATTTTCAGCAAACAATATGAAACTCAGACAGAGTCAAATCCTGGCTATAACAGTGCAAGGTAGTAGAACAAAAGGCCCTTTCTTCAGGAAGCTAATGACAGCACAGCCATCAATTCACCCCTACAAACTATCTCATTGAGCTGCACCCCCTCCAACCAGGCATGCAATTTAAAAGAACTGTGTGTGCCATTAATCTCTGTTTAAAGTCATTGCAATACATTGCCATGATCCTTCCCCTCTGGCCAGTGAAGCAGGCTGGTAATTCATCAGGAAACCCATTAAGTGGATTCTTCTGTATCAGTGTGCTGTATATTGTAAAGAAAGTTTTTTTGTAATGTCCCAGTGTTACATAACTTGCTATGAAAGATGGATGTCAAATTTCAGAGCCTGGGGCAGCCCTGGCTACTGGATCAAAAAAGACAGTACTGTGTGTGCAGGCAGCAGAATATTCACATGTGAAAGTGCCCCTCTCTCCTTTTCGTTCTCTGCAGCAATCCTGTTTACATCATAGCCTGATTCTTTTCATTTTATATTTTTACTTCTGCATGTCCTTTGCATTTCAGATACTGTAGATTGGATGCATGGTGAAGCTGTGACTGAGAAGATAATACAACAATTGACAGTGTATTTCATTTAACTTTTAGCAATAAAGTAACTAAACCCTCTATTCCTCACCCACAATGGGGTCAGATAGAAACTCTGCTAATTTGTCATAAGATGATTGTAAAAATTTGCTCTGGATTGTCCGAATGTCAGAACTCTTGACTGTTTAACACTTGAACATTTTTTATATTATAAATAAAATAAGAAATAATTAGTATGTTTCTGGGGTGTTGGTTGTAGCCGTGTTGGTCTAAGGACATAGGCAGACAAGGTTCTTAGGGTAAATTTGATCTCTTCTATTAGACCAATTAAAACAGTTGGGAAAATTCCTCTTTGCAAGCTTTTGGGTACAAACACCCTTCTTCAGGGAGAGGGAGCATCTGCAGTTGTTTTGTGCTCTTCCTGGATGATAAAAAAAGCCAGTATGCAAGAATGCAGGTCAGTGAAAATGCAAATGTGTGGCATTGAGGGTCAAAGGGGGTGAGAGACAGGAGGTGGGTGGGGAAAGAAATGGTGACCTGGAAATAGAATGTAGCTGGTAAATTGTAGAGGTTACCTGGGATATCAGATGCCAGGCAGGTTATAACATGCCATAATGTTCAATGTCTATATTTAGTCTATGATTTTTTGTATCTAGTAGGTTGATGAAGTGAAGTGAAACACCTTTCACAGACATGCCTACAAACTTCACTTCACCGATTGTCTTTCACCTCCTCTGACCCTCACTGCCACACATTTGCATTTTCACTGACCTGCATCCCTCTACTTGGGATCTCCTGAGCATATAGGTTAGGGATAGACATTACACATAAACTGGTTTAAGTGATCAGAAACTGGTTTAAACCTGCAACAGAACAGATGTTCAGTGCATATAAACTAGTCTGAAAAAGACTGAAACCAGTTTGAGATAAACCTGGTTGAATGTAGTATCAGACTTAACTGATTTGTCTCAAACTGGTCTATGCAATGTCTGTCCAAGACCCCTTGCTAGTTTAAGATAAACCAGACACCCCCAGTATCCCAGCATGCTCCATGGGCTGGGCAGGGATCTCTACTCCACAGCAGGGCTGGCCCCTCCCCTCTGCTTCCTGGCTGGAGCTCCAGAAGAGACTTTCAGGCACAGCAAGGTCTGCTTGGCTTCCCCCTGCCCTACCGCCTCTTGCTGCTCACTGCTGAAGCAGGAAATCCCCCCTCCCTCCTTTCCTGTAGCAGTACCTTGGGATTGGGGCCCCTGCCCTGGAGGGTAGTCTAAGGATTGCTGGCTATATTTGTAGACTGTGCCTTATAGTTTATGTGAATAAGTTGAAGCAAGTTTGTGTATTAATAGAATTATAGGGTTGCCTGATCAATATCCTTTATTCTGGGTTGTTCTATTTTTCATCTGTATTTTTAAATAATAATTGGGG